ATGTATATATATGTGTATATATAGAGTCGAGGGGCTCAGGGTTTGGGCTTCGGCTGACAGTTGAGAGGTTCAGGTTTGGGCCTTAAGGCTTCCATCGTTTCTGCTGAAGCTGCTCGAAACATTGGTGCTGTCCGAAGTCCCGAGACTACTTACACTTCTGCTGCTGGAGGCCCATATACACAAGATTGGGATTTTCCCAGCTACCAGTGCGTATCTGCTGACTGGATCAAAAGACCCCCAACCCAATCCTACGTAACCCGATGAAGCTTCGTCAACCAGTAACGCAGCACTATGCAAGTTGCCAACATCAGATACGAAGCTCGCAAGAATCCTAACTCCAGGAAATCACACATCCCGAGATGTGGCTTAAGTTAGGATCCACGGATCTAAGGCTCGAGCCTGAAGCCGAAATCCTCTAAACAGAAACCCTTACACTTTGATTCCCCTATAGCATCGCTGAACCCCTCAAACCCTTCAACTGAAGCAACCAGGCCCCCAGCCCCAAACCCTCCATTTTTCTGAAAACCCTGCCTTCCCGTACTGGCCGCGGCCACCAGACTGCCTCTTGTGAAGGTAGTCGAACGGCGTCTTGGCGGTCACGGTCCTTGCAATTTAGGGAACGCAGCCGGACCCTGGTACCTGAAACAAACTCCCTCCAAGTGTGACTACAAGAAAACATCATAAGGGTTACTGCAAGGGGTACCATAAGGGGTCTTGACTTAGGCGCTCTGGATTAGTTGGCATTGACTCGAGTTAGAAGTGTCGGATGTGTTCTTACAGGGAATAGGGGTGTAGGGCTCACACAACTACGCTCTAGATACCCCGCCACAGCAGTAAGCCCAAAACCCAAACCAAAGCTAAACACACACACACACACCCGCGCACACACACACACAGAGAGAAAAAAACACATACCCCAAGCCCTAAACCCTATATATAAACCAACAAAAATAAGAGGATGACCCCCCCCGCGCCAGGGCCCCGGACTCCCGGTAATTGACCTTCGGCTCGCCTGTGGAGAGGGACTCCACCTCACCGGGTTCTCTGGTTCTTCGTAGGGAATGGGGGAAGGGATCCCCTAAACCCTAAACCCTAAACCCTAAAGGCTATGATAGCCCCTTAAGGTCCCCTAAAAATAATCCCAAATAGCCCATTCTCCCATTCCCTACTAAGAACCAGTTAGCCGGGTTCTCTGAGCAATAGGCCCCCCAAAGCCCAAGACCTCTTCACTATAAGGGATTTAGGGTTGAGGGGTTTAGGGCTTTAGGGGTTTAGGGGTTTAGGGTTATAGGGGCTTACGTTGAAGGGATGTTCCTTGGCTACCCCTTCACTACGGTATACACCTTGAAAGAGAATCTCAAAAATGAGACCTCAGCTGTATTCCGGGATTTTGGGGTCTTGCAGGTCTTAAGATTCCTTCGAGGGGCTTAGGGCTCGGAGGTTTCGGGCTTCTGGCGGCTTACGGTTTCAGGGCTCTTTAGGTTTTTGAGCTTCGGATGTGTGTCGGTTCTTGCACTCAAGCTGAAGATTTCACCCGTAAAGCCTGAACACTTGCGCACCAGACATCATCTCGAAGCTGAAATCAAGGAACCATATAAAACCCAAACCCCGAATAGCCACCCAAACCATAACCCTAACAACACCTTGAGCCTTGAACCCCCAACCCCAGCAAGGGGTGGGTATAGTCATCAACCCCGAAGCCCAAGACTATCCCAACCCCTCCATCTTGCTAGATGCCCCCAACACCTTAAAATATTGGAGCGGGCCTAACAAGTAGAATCGTGTTCCTATACGTGTTCTGACGAAGGAGTCGATCAGGGTTCTATCATAAGGTTTCTACACAGGGGCCTTAAGCACCAGCAGAGCTTTGGAGTATACTAACACTAGTATGATCTATCAGGGACGATAAGTACTAAGCAGAATACTATGTTCCCACTGGCTTCTCAAGAACTGTCTTATTGACAATATTCAATACTTCAGGACCCATATTATAGAGTCCGAGATGTGGGCGGCCACACATGGCTCTGGCTGTGAATCCGGGTGTCAGCGCTTCAGGTTACGGTCAAAACCTCATGCCCGAGTTCGTCAAATTTCGTGAACAATCCCAATCCCAATGTCAGTGTTCCTGACTGCCCGGATTCCTTTCACAAAGGGAAAACGAAAGCACTAATTACGGACAAACTCCCGCACCTTAGAATCCTTAGAATCAATCGCAGCCCTACAGCAACAATCCGGAATGCATGCACAACAGTCGTAGTCGTATATGTTAACCACGATCTCAACACCACACCCCAGGCCCTGTAGAAGCGATACTACTGGAAAGGTAGTTTTGTCAAGGGAACCCACTCGGGGGAACCACTGCTGAGATCCTCCCAAAACCTAGCCCAAAACTACCCTGAAACCCTAAACCCCAAGCCCTACGCCCTAAAAGACCCTAAACCTTAAACCTCCCGATGTAAACCTCTGAACCCAGGTCTTTCTCGCTGGGATCCGCTTTTCGACGCCTTTGGAACTCGGGTCGCTGCTCTGGGGCCGTGCACTTTGGCTTTCCGACCGCGACGGGTCAGCCTTCTAGGGCTTTTTACAGCTTTAGGCTTAAGTAGCTTATCAAATTTCTAGGGATTTTAGGGTTTCTAGGGTTGAGTAGAGTGTTATGGGAATATGTAGACTGTTTCTTTTTAGATACTTAAAAACTGCTTTCTGGGTAGATGTTTACCGCTGCTTTATAGGGGGTTCCAGCGTCTTGAAGTGCTTGGTGGGGGTCTTATAGGGTTTCGGGCTTAGGGTTTGAGATCTGTAGTCTCTTTTGTATCTGCATCGCGCGGAGGGTTCGATCAACTTTCGTTCCGTGGCTGTACCCTCAAGCCATGGGTAGTACATACTTAAGCCTCGAGGGGCCTTCCTATGTAGCAGAGCCACGGTTTAGGGTTTAGGGGTGTAGGCCGAAGTCCATACTATATGGATCAACGGAGCCTTGGCCAGTCTTATACACGCTAGCAACCCCAATCATGGTACTTCTGACCTGACTTCTTCCCATAAGCCCCCCTATTCCTCCAAAACCCCTACGCAACCCGTACAGATCCCGTCCTGACATATGTAGCCCCATGATCCTCCAAGAAGTATAGTTGATGAAGAGAGCGGGGCCTTAATAAAAATCAATACTATTCCTCAGGGTTCTCTATCTGATATTCTTAAAAAGATTCTTAAAGTAGACGATGTGAAACTCAAAAAAGGCATATTCCAATCCTACATTGCTTGTCTAGCAACCCAGGGCTTGTAAGCTTAGCTCTGGGGCTGATGTCAGATGCACATCTGGGGTTAGGGTCTACCTGTAACTCTCTTTACCAGCAGTTTACCAGCCATTACCCCCTAAGTTGTAGGCAGAACCCATAAAAACTGTAGGTAATTAGAGTCCCAGGTAGGGCCTAGGGTTTACCAGTCAGGGTCTAGGACAGCTTCAGCCAGTCTTCACAGGGCCTCTTGGCTAAGGAATAGACCGTGGATCACAACCCTTGGGAGGGCCAGCAGGTTTAGGGTTTAGGGTGTAGGGTTTAGGGTATGTCAGAATCCCTACCGGTAGCCCTATCCCTAAACCCTAAACCCTAAGAACGGAGGCGGGGGCTACTAGTCAGGGCTCTTAGGCAACCCTAAAACCAAAATCCTTAAACCCCCAAATCCTAAACCCTAAACCCCTAAATCCTAAACCCTAAACCCCTAAATCCTAAACCCTGAACCCCTAAATCCTAAACCCTAAAGCCTAAACTCTAATCTCTCTGGGTTCTCGATGTGCCCGCTCAGTATCGCGAGATCCGACTCGACCCGTGCGGGGGCCCGTCCTCGCGAGGCCTGCTGGCTTGGTTTAGGGGTTTAGGGCTTAGGGTTTAGGGCTTTAGGGTTTAGGGTTTAGGATTTAAGGGTTTAGGACGTAGGGTTCGGGGCTCAGGGTTTAGAAAGGGGTTTTGGTTTAGGGGCAAGTTGCTGTTGGAAGCAGATCAACACACGGCACCCAATTAGTACGTAGCGTTTGGAACAAAACCTACCCACACTGTATTAGATCTTCTGAATCTTTCACTCGAAGATTTGTTTTTTTTGACCCTTCGATTCTATCGCGAGCTAGCATGTTCGTGCAGGAACCCTCTGCCATTCCGTAGATGCTGTGCGGGCTGCAGAAGATGCATCGGCTTTACCATGTCTTATTCAGGGTCTAAACCCTGAGCCGTAAATCCTAACCCCTCTAGACCCCAAGCCCAAAGCCCCTCGAAACCCAAAGCCCTAAATCCCTCTAAACCCTAAGCCTAAGCCCTAAACCCCTCTGAGCCCTAAACCCTAAACACCTCTAAACCCTAACCGCCTTAAACCGTTCTAATGGGTTTGGGTGTTACTTGGTGTGCAAACCCAAAGGCTCCATGTACCCATATAGTGTATACTTAGACCATAAAGTACCTATATAGAAACCCCTTAAAGGCCCATGTATATACTATATGGGTACATGGAGCCTTTTGGACATAGAAGGATGTCGAGGTACTCTGGACCTGCAAAAAGTCTGCTCAAAGCCTGTGGCGTGCCCTACTGGGTTTAGGGTTTAGGGTTTAGAGGGGTTTAGGGTTCAGGGTGTTGTAGGGTCTGGCCGTTTAAATCCTGACCGTTACTTTCGTGTTTAGGGGCTTCCGGATTTCAAGGGGTTTCTGAACAGTCGGTGTCCCTCTGCTCTTGAAACAACATGCCCCCGCTATGTTGGGTCTACATTGCTGTCCGTGTGTCTTTTCTTCTATGCGAAGAGAGGTCATAGCAGACGGAGGGAGAGGGAGAGAGGGAGAGATAGAGAGATATAGGAGAGAGAGAGAGAGAGAGAGATAGAGGGCGAAAGATAGAGAGAACAAAAGACCAAGATCTGCATGACCTGCTAATCAATGCTAAACACATCAACATATAGACAAACAAATACATAGGTAAATAATTTAAAACATCGAACAGACACACAAACCAGATAGATAAGCAACTAGTTACACAGAACAAATATGATATATATATATATATATGTACATATATGTATATGTCAGCACTTCTTTTCTGTAATCGTACATGTATATACCTGCGTATTCTACCCGGACGCCCAGCTACCTCGAGGAGGTACGTGCTCATTCAACCCAATCTATTCTAAAGCCTATATTATCCATGATGCAGCAACCTGGTGCAGGGGTCCTAGCCCCATTACGCCCGTACGAAGCCCTCGACGTAGAAAGACAGATAGCTAAAACCGCCGCAATGACCTGCGGAGTAAGTCCATGTTGAAGCCGAAGAGGCAAAGCTAGATAGAGATGGAGATAGAGACAGACATAGGATTAGAGTTAGAGATAGAGTTAGAGACGCGTATAGGCACACATATCGATATAGAAATATGTATCTAGATCTTAGAAGCAGATGAGCTGTAGAAATCAATACAGATAGTAGCAGAGAAAGCTAGTCGTTAGACAATCCCAAGATGATCAGAGCGACAGAGATACAAATCGATAGTCAGATAGACGGATTGATATATATATATATAGAGAGAGAGAGAAAGAGAGAGAGACAGATAGTTAAGCTAATAGATAGATAGACCGATCGATGGATGTGGATAGGTAGGTAAATAGATAGATAATTAGATAGGTAGATAGATAGGTAGATAGGTAGATAAGTAGATAGACAGATGGATAATAAGATAAGTTTCGCAGATACTCACACGCTAAACCCTCAACCCCCCAAACCTTTGCCTGACTTCGGGACTTCCCGCAAATGGGCTTCCAAAAGCCTTCGCTGGCTTTGGCACATCTGGGCCTACTTTTGAGATTCGCTCTTGCTTTGCAGGGTTTGAGGGTTCGGGTTTGGGATGACTATTGTAAGCTGGAGGGCTTGGGCTTCGTTGCCCGGGATGAGGGTCTCGGCTTGATGTGTTTGGGGTTGTTTCTGCAGGAAGGGTTGTGTAACATCATGGTGTTAGCGCCCTTGGCATGGTCTCTACCCAAAGCCCATACCGAACCCTCCCAGAACCCTT